CCAACAGCAAAAAGCTGGAGGCATGAATCAGGTGATAAAGTGCTTTATCAGTTTAAGCTCAGATACCTCAAAAAGAAAAAACATCCACTAACATTTCTCATCTTCCCATTTCTCTTATCTCATTTCTCCGTACTTTCACCACCTAAGCTAAACCTGTGTGTGAAGTGGTATCTCCTTATGATTTTGATTTCCATTTCTCAAATGGCTATTTATTTGTTTAATTGGGCTATTTACTGTTCACTTCAAAATATATCTTATATGTATACTCTTCTAAAAATTCATTGATCAGTATTTAATGTAGCTCAGGTAAATCAAAGAAGCAGCCCTCCTGCCTCAGGTTCCCAAGTATGACCGTAAGTGTTACCACCATACCCTGTAAATTCAGTGTTGTTAGATTCTAGTTTTTGCTTTTTTTTTTTTTCTTTCCGCTAAAACCTATTGTGTAATCCATGTTCATGGAGATTTACTCCTGGAAGAGTTTTATAGATTTACTTCTGATGTTTATGTTTTCTTCCATTTTAGGTTAAATGATATTATAGGCTAGAATCCATCTTCATTGATTTTATTTGTATTTTACGAACCATTTCCTCTTTTATAATCTTGTCATTCTTGTCAAAAGAGTAACACACATTTTTATATCCAGCATTTAATTTTCTTATTACTATTATGGAAATACATTGCTATTTATATAGAATTCACTATGTCAAAAACCTAGCCTGTGAAGAACTTTCATATGCCCTTAACTTTATTAGTGTGAATCACAAAGCAAAGGAAAGGATGACTGAACAAAATAATAACAGAAATAAAGGATGTTAACTTTTCTCACCCTGTATTTCTATATGGCATGTGCACTTGATATATAAAAGCAACATTCCTTCTGCAAGTTTAGAGGTGTGCTGTTTGCCATTTGTAATCAACATTGAAAAGCTAATCTTGTTTTAGTTTTTTTTTAGTTCTTGTATTTGTATAAATGTAAGCATCTACAGATTTTCTTCTTCTGGGACAGGGTATACAGAGAAAACAAAGCAATGTTTTTTGATATCATAGTAGTAGAGCATTGAGCCTTAGTACTTGTGCATTCTTCAGATTTTTCCCCATAGTTATTTTTCCTTTTGCACATTATTCTAATTTTATTTTGGTTCTTTCTCAAATTTCCTTGATAAAACATAAATTAAAATTTCTTTTCTACTTACAGCTCTGTTGAATCAAAGGAAAATTAAATAGGTTTCTGCTTTTCTTATAAATTAATACCTGAGTGTCAAAACAGTAATTTTGAAGTGTTAGAGGAATTGAGTACTAAGTTCTGAGATTTGACTTTTCCTAAGTCTTAATTTAAATAATGTGATAAATTGTGCTATGTCCTCTAAATGTGCCAGCAGAATCTTAATTTTAAAACATAGGCAATTATTGGTCATGTAGAGAAGAGTATTTGTTATTGATTTGTATTATAGAAATAAAATGATAGTAGTTATAGGATATTAAGTGTGAATATTTGTTCATTGTATAGGAGGAAAATGAGAGAAAACACACAAAGATATTCAGATAATGAGTCCACGTCTTCAGAGAAGTAAGTAACTTTTAGCATCCACTAAGTATTTCTGTCTTAAAGGCTTGGGTTTAATATTTTCTGTTTTTTAAGTTCTGGAAGGAGAAGAAAGGACCTTTTAAAACCATAAAATCTGAATCAACATTGACCTCTCTGATAACAAAAAGTAAGTATCAACAGCAATCATTTTTGCATTTACTTACACGTGTATACACTATTGCCTCCTACTCCCTCCTCTCTCTTTCAAGGCAGAACGTATTCCATGTGCAATCCGGGAAGGAGAGACAAAAGAGAGGTTGAGGGGGTGAATTCAAGTATATATATTTGATACATTTAAGAACTTTCGCAGATACTCTAGTGTATCCCCACCCAGCACACAATAATAATAGGCATTCTAAAATGCCAGTTTTAATACACGTTTCATTCAAAATACTATGCTGATCATTTTTCTTTTAAAATTGAGATTGCTTCTCCCTGTTTCTTTTTTTCTTCTGGACCTGAATATACTGATACTTTATGCATTTAATTATGTTCTGGGTGTTAATTTACTTTAGTAAATACTATGGAACTTATTAGATTTTTTCTTTTGATGATATTGATAATTGCAAGAAATATTAAATGGCAGACAAAAGTTAAAAAAAGAAGTATCACAGCTCTAGTATATTTCCATGAACTGAAGCAGATGAGATTGCAAGATAAGAGCTGTCTAACTTCATATTTTTTTTAAATCCCTATTTATTTTACATTTCATCATCTCTTTTCTTTATGTTGACAAATAAGTTTCAACTGAAAACTTTAGCATTTCAACATTATTTTTATAAAGTTTACAATTAGATCCACCCCAGACATACCTGTCATGGAATAAGTACTAATTTACAAACTGAAAAATGAAAATGATTTGTTCCTTTACTAAGTTATTATAAATTTTTAGTAGTTTTTTCAGTGATATTTGTTTTAGACTTTTTCATCCTTGGAAAAATTTAAACATTAACACGAGATTTTAACTCTGTAGGTAAAATACTTAAAGTTGTATCTGTGTTCTGACTGTATTATAAGGATTGGGCTAATTCTCACTAATAATGGCAGAAGGTTTCAGTTTCAACCTGTTATTTTATTGCAGTGGAAGTTGCAGTTACATGACTGACTAAACTTCCTGCTTTTGTGCGTGTTTGTATCAGCAGGAAATCTTCTAAGCCACGTTGGTCATACCATACTGGGCATGAATACAGTTCAGCTATACATGAAAGTTCCAGAAGTAGAACACCAGGTGATTTTTATGAGTAAATATATCTAGGATAGTTGAAAGAATAACATTAAGATGTAATACAACAGAACCGTCTCCCCACTATAATTAATAAACTGATCTGATTTTTAAGGTTTCTTTAGGAGGTGAGAATGTATATAATTATTCTAAAGTGAAGTTAGAGTGTTAACTGTTTTCCCATTGTGTCTTTAGGTTTTAAATACACAAATAACAAAATAATCTGGAAAATTTAAAGTATAATTACTAAGTCATTTAATGTATGAAAAGCAATGATAGTAAGTCTTATGTCATTGACTGCAGCTGATTTTCAGTTTTTCACCACAATTACAATGAGAAAAAAGCACATTATGTAATGAATGAGTTTATTTGAACTGATGTTAAAAAATCATGACAATACTTATAAATTATTATTTTTCAGTCTCCTTTCACTCTTTAAAACACATATTTCAAACTTTCTAATGTAGAAATCAGCAAACTCTTCGAAGGCTAGAGAGTAAAATGATGCTACTTTGAAAACCAAGATGCTTAATTGGATATTTTGTGGTACATACATGAAAACATATTAATTTCCATCACTTTCTAGTTGCTGAAAATAAAAATAAATGACAGCTTGAATACAAGTTTTGTCTTCTAACAAGGATAGAATTTTCTTACACTGCTGGTGGGAATGTAAACTAGTACAACCATTCTGGAAAAAAATTTGGAGGCTACTTAAAAAGCTAAACATCGATCTACCATTTGATCCAGTAATACCACTCTTGGGGATATACCCAAAAGACTGTGACACAGGTTACTCCAGAGCACCTGCACACCCATGTTATTGCGGCACTATCACAATAGCCAAGTTATGGAAACAGCCAAGATGCCCCACCACTGACGAGATATTTAAGAAAATGGTATTTATATACAATGGAATTTTATTGCACCATGAAGAAGAACAAAATGTTATCATTCACTGTAAATGGATGGAATTGTGAAACATCATTCTGAGTGAGGTTTGGCCTGCCCAAAAGACCAAAAATCGTATGTTTTCCTCATATGCGGACATTAGATCAAGGCAAACAAACAAGGGGAGACTTGAGCACATGATAAAAGCGAGAGCACACAAGGGAGGTCTGAGCGAGTAAGACACCCAAAAATTAGCTAGCATTGTTGCCCTCAACACGGAGAAACCAAAGCAGATACCTTAAAAACAGCTGAGGCCAATAGGAGAAGGGGACCAGGAACTAGAGAAAAGGTTAGTTCTAGAAGAATTAATTTAGAGGGTAACACACACGCACAGGAAATCAATGCGAGACAACTCCCTGTATAGCTATCCTTATCTCAACCAGCAAAAACCCTTGTTCCTTCCCATTATTGCTTATACTCTCTCTTCAACAAAATTAGAGATAAGGGCAAAATAGTTTTTCTGCCGGGTAGCGAGGGGGTCCGTGGGGGGCAGATATAGAGGGCAGAGTGGGTGGTAAGGAGGGGGCAGGGGGAGAAATGACCCAAACATTGTATGCAAATATGAATAATAAAAAAAAAGAATTATTTTTTGGACTATAACATTTTACATCACTACAGGTCAAAAGCTGTAGTCTCAGTCATTAAAGTTTATCATAAATGTACATCTGTTAAAGTTGTTCTGTAATGCCTTTTTAAAATGTATTTTGTCTAAATTGATACTGTTAAATACTAATGTCAACCTGTAAGCATATTTCTTAAGCACATTAATTACTTTATTTGTCCTGTTTAGTTATCGTAACATTACAGTTTCTTTCAAATTGAAGTTTAGTTTCACCTTCAATTGGCAGGTTCCTTGGTGCACGAATTTTTTTAAATATGGAAAAATTTCTCTGCACTTGAAGTAAGGTTTGAAATTGCTGTAGTTTGAGCATAAAACTGTATGTTGTGTATGTGGGGATATTGGGATTTAGCTTCTTGTTTTGATAGCATAGCAAGTGAAATGTGATGCAGCTAGATATTACCTTTGGAGAGTTTTGTTTTGCTTTTTTGTTTTTCAAAAATGGCTTTATTGTAGTATAAGTTTCACATGAAAGTTCTATCTTACTTTGTAATTTTGGGTTGACTTTGTTAGTGATCATTTTAAGGAACTGCAACAAAATTTCTTGTGGCCAGTTTAGTTCAGTAATAGTTCCTAGAATTCAGAAAAATTCGTCTTAACTCTGAGTTCTAACAACAGCAATACATATTCTTCATTGATTGCTAAGTCATTGTCTATTTGGGGGTGACAAGTAAGGGTATTTTTATTTCTGATAAAAATTCTTGGAACTCATGTTCAGTAAGTCTGTAAGTGGCAAGTGATGAGGAAATGCAATAGCTGTTAGCTATTGTATTCCCTGTTTTAAAGGTTTATTTTTTTGCTCAGTCTTTAGAAGCCTCCAGTGACTGAAGAGTATATTTCCCCACTAAATTTATAATGTGATTATGACTTTCATTTCCTTTTACTTTTCAGGTCACCAAGAGAATAACAACTTCTGTTCTGTTAACATAAATATTGGACCTGGAGACTGTGAGTGGTTTGTTGTACCTGAAGATTACTGGGGTGTTCTGAATGATTTCTGTGAAAAGTAGGTTTTAGAACTAAACTGCCATTTAACATATATTGTAAGAAAACAGCTGATTGATTGATTGATTGCACTACTAGGGTTTGATTCAGGCCTCATTGCTCTACCACTTGAGCTACTCCAAGAAAACATTGTTTTGAATGATAAAGTACAAATGGTATTTCTTAGTGCAAGTTTCAGTTGTTATTTAATGCTCATTAGAATTTTTTTATAAAGATATAGTTGTTCTGGGGATGTATGGTTTCATATCTTTTGTATTGTGTAGAATAGTCAATAAAGAATGACATAAAATCAGTCTACAATAGTAACAGGTAGGATCGAAGGGTAGCAAATGAATTAATTTTCTGGTAATTTAAAAGTCGATGTGTGAAGACATATTTTCTTTTGGCAAATGTGTTTTAAAGAAAAATAACAGTCTTATTGTGTGGCAAGAATTCAAAAAAATTAAATATCCTTATGTATCTTTCTAGTTTAGAATAAAAACATCAGTGTCTTAGTATGGAAATCACACCATTTCTTTTTTCAGAGATGGTGATAATATTAGTGGAAAATGCTATTGTGTACATTTAAAATGTACTATATATTTACAATATATGACAAAAATTGAATAAAATTTTCATAATCATTCACATGCAGGATTATTTTAAAACCAATTCATGTGTGTATTTACAGACTAATTTCTTTATTTTTCTGCTGGTGTTCGGGACTAAAGCCAGGGGGCTTCACACATAGTAGATAGTAAGCTAGTCTACCCCCATCCTGGTAATTTCTTCTTTCATTAAATATAATTGTTAGTAATTTTTTTGTGTTTATGGGTTACCACATGATGCTTCAATACAAATATAATCACTCATGTTCAAATCAGGTTAACCATACCTATTTCTGCAAATACTTACTATATCTTTGTGTTGAAATTATTCAAAATCCTTGTTTGTAGGGTATTTGAAGTACAAAATAGTAGTCTTATAAAAGTTTGTGCTTTATAGTTTAAAAAGGGCTTTAATGAGTATTTGATAAGATGTTAACCATAGTAAAAAGAGAAAAAGTATACTCTTTACATAATTTTCTTACCAACTAGCAAGAAATGATCCTTTTTATTTTCTTTGGTATGTAATATATATTTTCCTCATCATAAGAAAGGTGATTTTTTTTTGTCCTTTGTGTCTTGCAAAAGCACATACTCTACCACTAAAGATGAAATATTCTTAAGTTTAAAATTTTTTATTAAACACTTCAATTTGAACATGTTTTTAAACAATGGATTTAAATGTAGAGTCATGAACTATAGAAATTATCAGTTTCAGAAGAATGATCTATATGCAAAATAAAGTGACAGTGAAATTGCAAAGAGGGCACATAATGTTTCTATAAATTAAGAAATATTTATCATTTAAACTTGGTGTTTACATTACTTCCATGTTTAAACTTTTCAGGTATTACTATCTTTGACTGCAGGATGCTTAGCCTTTTGTCTGAAAAAGGGAAGAAGCTAAGCCTTGTAATAATAGTTCCTTACTCAAATAATTAACAAACTCAGTAGTTTAACAAATACTATAATACATATCTTCATAACTTTAAGAAATGAATTCTATCTGTAGAACAATGAGAATTTCCCTATGGTTCTTCTCTTTATCTTGTGTAGCTATCAGTTTTCTGGTTGAACTTTTGAGAGGGTAACAGATTCTGCCTTGATTGATTTTGCTTTCTTTTTCTTTTCCTACTCCTACTTCGCTCTTCCTCTTTGTTCTTTCTCTTCTGATGCTTTTTCCTCTTTCTTTTTTTCCCCAGTAAAACTTTATATACTTTTATGTTTGTAGCATATTGGGTAAGTTATGGTTAAGATTTGTGTGGTATTGATAACTTCTCCCTCCTTCCATCCCTTCTTCCCTCCCTACCTCTTTTCCTTGTTTTCTTTCTTTCCTCCCCCATTCTACCTTCTCATCTTCCTGCTTTCCTTTCTCACTGATGCCTCCATCCTTCTTTTTTCTACTACTTCTTCTTTCCTTTCCTTTTTTATTTCTTTTTACTGATCGCTCTTTGGAAGATTATAGAAAACACTAATTTGTTGTTGTTGTTGTTGTGGCATTGGGGCTTGAACTCAGGGCCTCATGCTTGCTAGGCAAGTACTCTACCACTTGAGCCATTCAAACAGTCCAGAAAACACTAATTTTTTTAATCCTAAAACTGAAGTGTTTTCTAGACTTAGATGAAGAAAAGCCTTACATTTTTAGGGTTAATAATGAAAGGTAAAAAACACATCACATAGACAATTCCAAATTACCATTTACCACATTTTTTTAAAGAAAAAAATGCACAAACAAAAGCTGTTTTTGAAATGTTAATAAAAATTTGTAGTATGTGAATTTCTTCTTGAGAAAACTTAATTTGAGGAAATTAAAATGTATCATTAATTCTTTTTAGAAAATTCTGTCAGTCACTAAGTAATCATGGCCGCTAATATTACATTGAAAGAGAGAAATAGAATCAGATTTTAAAATTAAACCTTATCAATTTAATATGTCAGTATCTGTGCCTTTTGTGCATAAATTTTCAGATATGTATGCTTCTTTTATAAAAAAATGCTCTTTTGGGAGTTTTCTCAACTATAATTAAGTCAATTAATTTTTAAATTCCAATAGAAATCTACATTCTGTTTCTTGCTCCTTTCCCTGCTTATGTTGTAGCAGTAAGGAAGATTCTGGGTTCTCTCTTTTCTCGGAATTAAAGATTTTATAGTTTCTTATACCTGTCATTGTGTTTAGATTAAAAATTTAAATGATTCGACATAGTCTTCACCCTTAACTTTCTTTATTAAGGAGACAGATATTAAAAGTTTCTTGATGAAGAAAGAATGAATTAAAATGTTCTTCTGTTTTGTTTTGTGCACTGTGGCTGGAACTCTGGGCCTTCACCTTGAGCTGCTCCACAAGCCCTTTATGTGTTAGGTATTTTTGAGATAGGGTTTTGTGGAACTCTTTGTCTGGGCTGGTTTTGAACCCCGATCCTTTTGGTCTCTTCCTCCTGAGTAGCTAGGATTACAGGCTTGAGCCACTGGTGCCCAGCTAAAATACTCTTTATTGAAACAAAATTAAAAAATCTGTATTTAAGTGTAACTTGAAACTTTTAACTTTCAGATTTTTGAATAGGAAGTTTAATATACCTGATCTTGGGTAAGTCAACCAATAATCACTTATAGCTAATTATAGTGAGAATTGACCCTTTCACATTGAAATCTTGAAAAAATGCAATTCTTGTTGCAGTGCTTTTACAATTCAGCATTGTAATGGAATAAATATTGCTATCATTTAAACTTTTGAGATAATCTTCCCATCTTTCATAAAACACTAAAAATGATCCTCTAATTTTTTTTCCCCCAGAAATAATTTGAATTTCCTAATGAGTTCTTGGTGGCCCAACCTTGAAGATCTTTATGAAGCAAATGTTCCTGTGTACAGGTTTATTCAGCGACCTGGAGATTTGGTCTGGATAAATGCTGGCACTGTGTATTGGGTTCAGGCAATGGGATGGTGCAACAACATTGCCTGGAATGTTGGTCCACTTACAGGTATTAAAAAAATACAACAGATTTTTACATTTTATATGATTTTTTTCTAGTGGTTACTTTTAGAGTAGGGAAAATCTTAATTCATAGTGCAGAGACCAAATTCAACTTTCAAAATGGCAATGCCCCACAGAGGTTTCAGTAAACAGTAAATATATTTCTTTATAGACATACAAGATATGCTTTTGATGTTTTAGAGTGCTGTGGTTTGATTTTACAAAGGAAAATCTTTATGGAAGAACAAAATGACAATATAATTTAGAATTTTTATTTCATATGCCATATTATTCAGGCAACCCTATTTATTATACAGAAGCTAAGGAGCCTGTCTTTGGAGCCAGAAGACCTCAACTGGACATTTGCTGTACATTGTTGACTTTGTGACTTTGGGCCAGTTTTTAACTTGATTTCACCATCTGCAAAATGTGGATTAGAAAATCAAGGTGGCCTTGAAAGGATGGAATAGTATAAAGTGTAAAAACAACTAAGCATAATGCCTGACATATTGAGTACTCTTCACCCAACTTTTTAAAAGCCATCATCATTATGTAATGGAATATTTTATGTAATGCATTGTTTTCAGATGGATGTTGAACTTGAGATGTAGTAATAACCATCTTCTTCTTATTTACTACTTTGGTTGACTTTATAACTGTTGCTGTTTTTCCCTTCTAGCCTGCCAGTATAAATTGGCAGTGGAACGGTATGAATGGAATAAACTTCAGAAGGTGAAATCATTAGTACCCATGGTTCATCTTTCCTGGAATATGGCACGAAATATCAAAGTCTCAGATGCAAAACTTTTTGAAATGATAAAGTAAGTGCTTTCTAAAACTACTGTAATCCCTCTTCTGAGGGTAATGTTTAGTATACAGTATTTTTTCTTGAATGAATTATGTTGGTACAAGATATAAAATGGTTCAGAGTTTTGTCAAAATACCGTAAAAGAATGTGCACCTTAAAAATATGTTCTTCCTTTCCAAATAGTCATCCATGATATGATGAGAAATAATAACATATATGATTGTATTGAGTAAATTTACAAACTCGTATTTCCATCTCTACTTTGATAAAAGTAATTTCCTAGGAAATCATATTTTATTTTAAAATTGTTATTTTGGCTTACCCTTTTTTTTTTTCCAGTTGGCAGCTAAAAATTGAATGTATTTACGGCATACAGGTTGATGATTTACTGTACATGTGCTTAAGGAAATACGCACCACAATCCCTTGATTGTATTCATATAGTTAACAATTGTATGAGCATATTTATATTGGGAACGCCACTTTCCTAGCAGGTTTTCAGTTTAAATACAATATTAGTTGTTGCCACATCCTCAGAACTTATCTTGTATAACTGATAAGTTGCACCATTGACCAACATCTTTCCAGATCACTCTAATCCAACATTCTACTCTGTGCTTCTGATTTTCATTTTAGATTGCATCTATATGAGATCGTCCATAAGAATTCTGTCTCTCTGCATCCAGTTTATTTCATTGTTAACATAATGTCCTCTGTATTCACTCATGTTGTCATTGGTGACAGAATTTTCCTTCTTTTTAAAGACAGACTTATATTCTATTTCGTACACATGCCATGATTTCTTTATTCTTTCATCCATCATCAGTGAACACATAGTTTCCATTTCTTGGCTATTGTGAATAAAGAAGAAATAAAGTGTGGATGTTTTTAATATACCAATTTCACTTCCTTTGGATATATAGTTAAGAGTAGGACTGCTGTATCATATGGTAGTTTTGTTTTTCCTTTTTAGAAATTTCTGTACTATTTCCTATACAGACAGGACCAACTTTGATTCTCACTAGCAGAGAACGAGAGTTCCTTTTTCTCACATCCTGACACTTACATAATCCTTTGTCTTTCTTTATAGTAGTCATTCTAAAATGTTTGGGGTGATACCTCACTGTGGATATGCTTGGCTGTTTCTTGATGATTAGTGTTGCTTACTTTATCACATACACATTGCATGTTAACGTGTTCTTTTGAGAAATGACTTTTTATGTGTTTTATACTTTTTGCCTTTTGAGGCCAAATGATTAGCTTGCTTTGTAGCTCAGGGTAACCTCCAGCCTCAATCTCCTGAACACTAGAATGACAGACGTGTGCAAAATGCTCACTTTGCACATTTCACAATCAGATTATTTAATTCTTTGCCAGTGAGTCATGCAATTTCCTTATATATTTATGGTATTCTTCTTACAAAGCGTATGGCTTAAATATTTTTTCCTATTCTGATTTAGTATGTTCCATAACATTTGTCCATTTCTTCTGCATTATTCAGTTCTGGGTATATTACTATTCATAAAATGGTCCGTTTGATCATTTATATTTCTGACCCTATGTTATGATTCCTTCTCTTTCATTTCTCACTTTGGTATTTGAATATTCTCATTTTTTTGGTCTAGTTGAATTGAACTCAATCAAGCTCCCTGTTCTTGGGCTTGAACTCAGGCAAGTGCTCTACTACTGAGTCCTTTTGCTTTTAGTTTGTTTTTCATATTGAGTCTTGTGCTTTTGCCTCGCCTAGTCTCAGACCATCTCCAAGAAAGTGAGATTATAGGCATGTACCACCATGTCTGCTTTCTTTTTGAGCTAGGGCTTACTGAGTTTTCTGGGCTGTACTCTGACAAAGGATTCTCCTGTCTCTGCACTAGAGTAAATGTTTACTCTTTCCTTGCATTTTTCTGTAGTTCTTTGGCAGTTTTTGATATTTAAAGTCTTTTTTTAATGTATATCTCTGCCAGTTTCAATTTTTGTTCCATTGAAGAGATCATCCTTCTGTATTTCTTTGGATATTTCACTAAGATTGGTTGAACATTCAGCATGGAGGGGGAAAAGACAAACCCTGCTCCATGCATTTGTGGTCTAACTTAGTGCAGAGGAATACCTTCATTAATAAGTCCAGCATGAAAGCTTCACATTTTCTGCCTTTTAAATTTTATAATTCTCCAGAAACCTCACCTCTCCTTGCTGTTCTACCTCATGTACATATACCTGTACAAATACTTGATATTTTTCAGTCAATAATTTGTCTCCATAGTCTGCAGACCTGTAGTTTCCTGAGAATTTTCATAAATTGTCTTCCCATTACGTACCATAACCTGAGTTTCAAACTATTTTTTACCAACTGACTTTCAAGTTAGGGTGGCATGGCAGTCTTTCACACAGCCTGCAGACAGGTTACAGTGTGCCAAACTTAGTTCTCTCACCTTTCCCCAGTTCATGTTAAGTTACTACTTCTGTCAAACTGACATCTGGGGAAGGAAGTATATAAAGATGAGTAAATACACCACAAAATTGCCTGTAACTTTCATTTCTACAGTTCCTAGGTAGTTTTTTTTTAACTGAAAAAAGGCTTAGGAACTTCCTATTCTGTCATCTTGATGATGTGACTCACTGTTTTCACTCTTTACACTGAAAGGTAAGAAAACGCTAATGAATTTATTTGAAAAACGTTATGATTGACTTACTAAAGGTTATAAATTTCATTAGATTATTATCCTATCAAATCTAGCGTTAAGTTATATAGATACATTAAAGAGTTTAATTCTTATTTATTATTTCTATATGCCCTAATTACCTTTTTCTGTTTTAAATACAGAAATTATTTCTCCTTGAGATTAGTATTATATCATGTTTCCTTGTCCCTATTATTTTTCTTTTCTAAAATTTGACTTCAGTCTTACAATATTATTTCTTAATTTTTGACTCATTCTTCTTAAATATCTTTATTTTAAATTTTGTATACAATTTGTATATGAAAACAATTCTCACTATATAAGCCGTGCCTAATCTGCAGTCACTGAATAAACATGTTTTGAATAAATACCATTCATGCCTCTATGAGTGACTCTATAATTGCTATCTTTACTGCTTCTGGTTCAGAGAATGCAAAGAACAAAATTAAGAGTAATATCTTCATAAATGTTACATGTATGACCATCTAACATAAATAGATTTAGTGCTTTTAAAGATAATTTCATGTAATTTTTTTTTTGCTATATTCTAGTCTGTTTTAAGCAAATGCATTTTTAGGTAATAACTTTTTCCTGAAATAAAGAGTTAACTTATAACTTGTGACAGGGTTGGCTAGTGGATCTCATTAACAAATTTGGCACATTAAATGGTTTCCAGATTTTACATAATTGTTTTATTAATGGATCAGCATTAAGTGTACATACAGTTGCAGCTCTTATCAAGTAAGTTAAATTTTTAAAAATATTTTCAGTGCCATTTACAAACTGCTCTTATTTCCTTGAAAAACATTGAGTTTCAGTTTTCTAAGTATGGTTTCTTCTCATTTTAGAATGATATTGTGATTTTAAGAATTCAAACAAGTTTGAAAGTTTACTTCTAGTGGAAGAATATTGAATATTACAACTATTTTTTGTCTTCCTTATTTCAGACCATTTGGACAGTGCTTTGAGTTTCTCAGTCAATATACATTGAAAAAATACTTTATTCCAATTATAGAAATAGTTCCACAGTTACTAGAAAATTTAACTGATGAACTGAAAAAAGAAGCAAAAAATGAAGTAAAAAATGATGCTCTTTCAATGATTATTAAATCTCTAAAGAATTTAGCTTCAAGAATTCCAGGACAAGAAAAAAACTGTAAAAAATACAGAAGTTTTTAGATTAAAAATGATACTCAGGTGAGATATTTAGTTATTACTTGTGTGTATTTTTAAATACACTTTTTAAAAAAGAAATTGACTCTCTTTCTCTTTACAGATTGTTACAAATTTCTTCTTTTAATGGGAAGATGAATTCATTGAATGAAATTAATAAGGTGATATCTAGTGTATCATATTATACTCATTGACATGGTAATTCTGAAGAGGCAGAGTGGCTGACAGGTGAGTGAATGGCAGTAAGCTCTTCTTGTAACTTAGCCTCTGAATAAGAATCTGTTTATAGAATAATACTAATTACTGCTAGAACCAACAAAAACAGAAAGTAATTGAATGAGTTATGACTGTTATACTGAAACTTCATAATTATAGCAATAACTGTGTTGGATCTAACATAATTTGGAAGTGTTCAGTAGAACTTACTGTGTCTTTTGTAAACTTTTGCTGAGCATAGGTGTTTGTCATATAGTTATTACTTGGTACTTTGGTTAAATTGAAATATAGGTGCCTTTTTTTAAGATTTTGGCAGATCTAAAACTAGTAAATGAATTGGCTGGAATTAATTGACTAAAAGAGAACTGATCACTTCCCAACTCAATTTAGAGTTCTAAAGTTGAAGTTATAATTAATGGAAAATAATAGTTAATTAATCTCCATGGATTAATATTTTATCGTTTCAATAAAAATAAATTTCATAGTTAAATTTTATTTTTCAAAACATGTATTTCTGTGTCATTTTGACAAAAGTAAGCTGTTACCATATTTTATAATTTTAGTTCTGAAATTAATAACATACATTACGTAAATATACTTCTGATCTTATCATGTGGTGGTAGTATAGAAACATTTGTGAAGAATCTCAAATTATTAATCACATCAAAGGTAGACTGGAGACATTTGGATGATATTGAGAAAATAGTATTTTACTTACACACCCAGTGTCAAGGGTCAGATTTTATGTATGCGTGTAATTTGCCTGCACAAAATTTTGTCAAATACAAAATTGCAGCATTTGCTGGTCCTTGACTGGGGTTCGCACTTCTGAACAGATACAAAAGGAGAGAGTTTAAAGTTTTTTTGAAGCAGCTTCATTCTTTGAGGCATTTTGATGAATTTTACAAAAGAATCTGTCCAAAGCACATTGGGAGTATAAAAAGATATATTTTTTGTAACAGATGTAAAACTATCTGGTTGTTCTCAACAGATAGTTTGAGAAGTGTGCTGGTTTAGCATACATATGAGATTATTTTTGTACATGCAGAATAAAGTTATTAATTGCATATTAAACAGCAAGTTCATTATAGTTATAGGCTATAATTTGTGAATTTAGCATATCTGTAGGACTTTTTGTATGCAAAATAGAATTCTGTGAAATTACTATGTTTTACAATTTTGTATTAACACTCAAATATATTAGTGTTAATAATTTGTGAATATTACATGACTTGAGCTTTTGAATTCCCAGTTTATTTACAAGTTGGAATTATGTTTTTGTTTCACTTTTAAAACTAACTTTTTGGTTTTTGCATTGAAACAAATGTTTGTGCTATTCAGGAATGGATACAGGAAAAGCATATCTTATCCATAGTCTTAAGAGGTAGTCTTCATCAACCACAGTATGTAGAAAAGCTAGAGAAAATTCTTCGCTTTGTGATTAAAGAAAAAGCTCTTACAAGGCAGGATCTTGATAATATCTGGGCAGCACAGGTAAGGGATTTTCTTTTTATAACAATAAAAATTGAAGAGCTTTAGTACTAATTATGTATTGCCATGTAAACTTTTATTCTGCTATGTATATAAAGAAATCCTTCTTGGAATTTTTTTAAAAGAAAGAACAAATGTACCCATCTTTATATATAATGAATGTTATAAATTAGAACACTGTAGTAAAATGATTATTAAATAAATGGTTATGGAAAAAGTATAAAGAACCTAATAATTAGAGGATTTTTTTTTTCATAAAAGGTATATGAAGCTGGGCACCAGTGGCTCATGCTTATAAGCACGCCTAATTTCAAACCCTAATACCACCAAAAAATGTGTAAATGAAGAAACAAATGTCACAAGAAAAGTTACATGATTACATAGTGCCTACAAAAACCTATGACTGGTTAAGTCAGGTTACAGATTTTTATAAGAACAAATAATCTTTAACATTAATGTCTAATTTCTTTTATTATTTTAATGGTAGATTTCTACTCGTGGATCACTAGGGAAGTATTAATAAACACTAGATTATAAATTTATTAGTCTTTTTTTAATTAAAGGTAAACCAAGAAATAATCTCACTAGTTTTGAAATAATCCCATTTTATCTTACTGTTCATAAATTTATTGATAGTTTATTGTAAATTATGTCAAATCCTTCAGCCATTTATAACAAAAATCTAAGTTGCAGAATTATTTGTTATTATATTAAAAAGAAGGAAGAAAATTTTAAATAATAATCTGTTTTTTATTTTTTATATATTTGGTCTTTCAACAGTCAGGGAAACATGAAGCCATTGTGAAAAATGTACATGATCTGCTTGCAAAGGTGGCTTGGGATTTTTCTCATGAACATCTTGATCATCTTTTTGATTGCTTTAAGGTAATTGTTCAGAGAGTTAAGTGTTACCATTTTACAGTAAGTTAAATTAGTTAATTACATGGGTTTTTCACTTTTACTTACTGGTAGATATGTTTGAAGATTCTCTGGTGAAGTGGTTGATCATTGTTGTCTCCTCCAATCACATCTTCACAGACTTTGTTTTTTTTTTTCCTGAGGCACTGGGGTTTGAACCCAGGACCTTTAATTTGCTAGGCAGGTGCTCTACCATTTGAACCACTCTGCCAGCCTTCACAGACTTTGTATTACAATAATTCCTGACATGACTTCATACTCTTTAGTTTTTACTCAAGTTATGGAGGGAAGGACTGGGTAGGATGCATCATGGTTCTCTAAGTGATACAGTCATATAAAAATGATATTTAGATTGGTCATGGTGGTGCATACCTGCAATCCCAGGAATAAGGAGACTGAAGCAGGAGGATTACAAGTTGGAGACGATTGTGGTTATGTAGTTAGAACCTGTCTAAAAAAAGATATTTAGATAGACCCTAGAGAAACTCAGTGCATCAGGATGCATTTTCAACATTTTAGCAATTGTCTATACTAACCCCAAGGTGAAAATATATGTATGAATTATAAAACGGTAAGTTATGAGATACTCTTTTAATTTTTATAAAATCAAAATGAACATTTTAGAAAACTTAATGAATCCTCATAATGTGAAGAGGCAATGAAAACGAAGGGCAAGTATAGAGAGTAGGGTTAACATTTTTAAAAATTTATGTCAAGGTCTTAGGAATCTTTTTAAACCAGTTTTACTAAAGAGAAACAAAGACTGGACTAAAGATGCCACTTAAGCAGTAGCATACCTGCTTAGAAAGTTCAGAGCCCTGAGTTTAAGCCCCAGTCCTTCCGAAAAAAAAAAGAAAAACAAAGATTGTAAATACATAGTTTTTAGATGCATTAGAAAAATTGCAGAGGCAGACAAGGAAATAAATATTGGTACGTTATGGTAGATATTTCAAGTTAATTTATAGTCACTTTTCTAATCCTGAAATAACTTCTGAAATGATAATGAATCAACAATGTAACTGTGATGACAGAGGGAAGGACCAGGTATCAATATCTTTTAATACTAAGATTCTCTTGATGGTCTCACTATAATCATAATTAAGTTCTATTGTGTATAGTCTCTTTGGCTTAGGTGGTTTTTTTTTTTTTTTTTTTTTTTTGTCTTTATTTATTTATTCATATGTTCATTCATTGTTCGGGCCAATTCTTCCCCTTCCTCTCCACTCCCTTTCTCCCCCCTCCTCCCTTACTTCTAGGCAGAACCTGTTCTGTCCTTTTCTCCAATCCTGTTGAAGAGTAGACATAAGCAGTAATAAGAAAGACATAGCATTTTTGCTAGTTGAGATGAGAATAGCCATACAGAGAGATTCCTAGCATTGCTTGTGTAATGCACAAGTATATTACAACCGGAATTGATTCTTCTCTACCTGACCTCTTCACTACTACTTCTGTCATTTTAAGGTTACTGTATTAGCTCCTCTGGGAACATCAAACACTTTAAAGTTTTGGGTTTCCTACTATCCCCATTCTTTCCATATGTACTCTCCCCTTAGCGTGTGATCCAAATCAATTATTACTGCCTTTGCCCTAGATCTAAAGTCCACATATTGGGGAGAACATATGATTTTTAGTCTTCTGAGCCTGTCTAACCTTGCATTTACTTGGAAATGATAAGATTTCATTCTTCTTCATGACTGAGTAAAATTCCATTGTGTATAAATACTACATTTTCTTAATCCATTCGTCAGTAGTGGGGCATCTTGGCTGTTTCCATAACTTGGCTATTGTGAATAGAGCTGCAGTAAACATGGATGTGCAAGTGCCTCTGGAGTAACTTGAATTGCATTCCTTTGGGTATATCCCTAGGAGTGGGATTGCTAGAACAAATGGCAGATCTATATTTAGTTGTTTAAGAAGCCTCTAGATTGTTTTCCAGAGTGGTTGCACTAGCTTGCATTCCCGCCACCATTGTATGAGGGTTCCTTTTCCCCACATCCTCACCAACATTTGTTGGTGGTTATGTTTTTGATGATAGCTGTTCTAACAGGGGTGAGGTGGAATCTTAGTGTGGTTTTGATTTGTATTTCCTTTGCATTTCCTTCAAATGGCCAAAAAAATCACATAAAAAATTGCTCATCCTTTTGGCCATTTGAATTTCTTCTTTTGAAAAAGTTCTGTTTAGTTCAGTTGCCCATTTCTTAATTGGTTCATTGATTTTGAGGGAGTTTAGTTTTTTGAGGTCTCTGTAAATTCTGGTTATCAGTCCTTTGCCTGATGTACAGCTGGCAAATGTTTTCTCTTACTCTGTGGGTGGTCTCTTCAGTTTAGAGAACATTTCTTTTGTTGTGAAGAAGCTTTCTAATTTTATGTAGTCCCATTTGTCCATCCTTTCTCTTAGTTGCTGAGCTCCTGGGGTTCTATTGAGGAAGGCCTTGCCTATACCTATTGCCTGCTCTTTCCTGTACTAGCATCAGAATTTCGGGTCTGAAATCTGTCATCACCATAAGAATCTTCATGTAGTCTTTTTATTGCCACACTTGTCTTTTTATTACCATCCCCACAGCTGTCTTGCCTGACTGCTTCCTTAATTCTTCACAATCAGTAGTCTATACTCTGTTCCTATAGTTGTGTCATTAAGATTATAGATTATAGATTTTGCATTTGCTGTCTTTTTGTTTTGAAATATGTAATACATATTGCCTTATGATGTCCAGTCCTCTTAAGACAAATTTTTCAAATCAATTCTTGCAATTTTTTAATTATGAAAATTTTAAATAGAAACCACCAAACAGTTTTAAGTAATGAGTAAAGCGTTGGGGGTAGAATTTTGGTTAGTCTTTTTCATGTTTCATGTTTGTGTTTAATTTTCTCAAACTGAATGCTAAAACTTTACGTATGTTGTTGGTTTATGTGTCTGTGTGATGAATGAAGTTTATCAAAGGTATGATGACTTAATGCAAATACATGTGTAAATTATACAACATTTATATCACTTGATAATTTTTTCTAGACAAGCTGGAAAAATGCAAGTAAAAAGCAACGTGAAAATCTACTTAAGCTGATATGTCGTCTTGCAGAAGATGATAAAGATGGTGTAATGGCACACAAAGTGTTGATTCTACTTTGGAATCTGGCCCATAGTGATGATATACCTGTAGACATCATGGACCTAGCATTCAGTGCCCACATAAAAATATTAGATTATAGTTGTTCCCAGGTAAAATAGTGTAATTTAGACTTTGTTCCCCTATAATTTTAAGTTGAATAATAGTTCCAAGTTATTTCTTCCCTTTTATTAGTAAAGTAATCTTACTTTTGGCATATAAGTCTAGCTTCCTCTCCTATGTCAAGTTTTTAGTTGTTCGTTTTGTTTTTCTTTTTGTTTTGGATTTTGTTTCATTTTGTTTGTTCTAGAGTTTGAACTCAAGGCCTTTTAAGTGCTCTACCAGTTACCAGTACCATTCCTTCAGCACATTTATCACTAAACATCTACTTCAGAGAAAAAATTTTATAGACGCAGTTTACTTTTATGGCCCTGTATTTGAAATATGTGACACAAATAATTAAAAATTTTAATGGCTTAGGAAGTATATAATAAAACAATTAAAAACAGTTTAATTAGTGGCTTCCACATAAGCAAATCACAGCAGATTTCTCACACTTAACTAATATCATGTATGCTTACTATTTGTAAGTATTCATATTATACAAATTTTATCTATAATCTTGCACTTGTTTTAAAGTTTTTGTCAGTGGTGTGCATTCTTATAAAGATCACTTCAAAATTTAATTATGATATATTCTCTTTAAAATGAAAATAAAGAAGGACTTGGCAGGCTCTCAGTTTCTTCATTCACTTATGCTTGAGTTTAATAATGTCAAACAAGGTCAAGATTAGACTTTGAGGGTTGTCAATACAATTTACTTGGGCTAGTAGAGTACTTCTGGTGGTCGAGTATCTGCCTAGCAAGTTTATACCCTGTATTCAAACCCCAATTCTGCCTACCGACCTCCTCCCCCCACAAAACAGCATTTTCTGGACTTATTACTGCCGTCATAAACATATAGAAAATTGTCATATATATTTAATTTTATGCATGTATAATTTCAGAGGAGGACCTTCTTAGCCAGGGTATTAAAAAATGAAGATAAGTGTTTCATAGTATATAGACTAGTCAGTCCTACTTGTCTAGGTGGTTTTTTTTTTTTCAATTGTAGAGAAGATACAAACAAAATTTTATCATAGCTAGTATCTTCTTCAAACAGATAAAGAGTTTTTTCTTATACCAATAACCAATAATACATTAAATTTGGTCTTCAAATGTATCAAAAGTAAATTAACTTCTGTTAGGATATATGATCAGATGACAGTGATCATATACTTTCCTCTATTTGTTCATTAAGTGTTTACTCAGCATCTAACATGGTTGTATGAATCTTGCATGCAAATGATATTTTATTAAATAAAAAAAATGCATGCAAGGGCTGTGACTCAAGTGGTAGAAGTCCTGACTAGCAAGTATGAATTCCTCCCTGAGTTCAAACCCTAGTACTGGAAAAAAACAAAACAAAAAAAACACCACTTTTTAAAAAGTGCAGTTAATCAAATGTTCAGTTAGAAGTTACTGTTTATTCACATTGTGCTTGCTACTGTATATTGTTATTACTATATTAACATACTAGATTTCAAGTTCAGCCTTCATTTGTTGCTGTTACAGCAAACTAGTAAGTGTATCCTTGCCTTCCCACTTAGGTGCTTTGAAGAGCCACAGCAAATTTAATACGTTATATTTTTGCGTAATTGCCTCTTCTCCCCCAAATATGCACAGAAACAGATTTTTCCAACTAAACCTACACTTTGGATTGCTAGTCATGATAGTTTATAAGATGAAAGCAAAAAACTATAGGGCAACATTTGAAATTAACTTACTGTTAAAATATTCCTAATTTTCATTTAGGTGAATATGTGTGCCTATTCTCTATAACTTTTACTGAATTGTTCTATTTTGATGACCTTTTTACTTTCAAATTACTATTATTTTCTTGAGGAAACATAAAATTTTTCCCTTATTCCAATTAAAACAGTATATTTACACCAAACCCATATGGTAATAATTAAAACTTTATTTTTGCTAAATTTTGTGATATGTTAGAACCTAACAGAACACAAATGAAACAGTGCCTACATTCAAGCAAACATTTTAAAAACAAGACGTTTTGTGATTCCTCTGAATGTGCCTATAATTGGAAAATACTCATATCTTGGTGAAGGTAATTCTGATGCCAGAGAGCATTGAACTTTATATTCTGGAGTTTAATAATTTTAAAACAAGATTGTACCAGAAACATTTTATTTGATTAAATCCTTACAGTTAAGTATAACCTTTGTTATATTGAGATTAAATGCTATCCTACTTTGAAATTATCCAAAGAATTTAAAGGTAGAATTATATTGAATTATTAAATTATATTGAATATTGATTTTAATCGATCTATGCTGAATTACTAAAACAAAATTTTTTCATGTGTAGTTAAGGGTCGAGATACACAAAAAATCCAGTGGATAAATCACTTTATAGAAGAACTTCACACAAATAACAAGTGGGTAATTCCTGCACTGAAACAAATAAGGGAAATTTGTAGTTTGTTTGGTGAAGCACCTCAAAATTTGAGGTAAGACTTTTAATATAGCGAAGTTTCTTATTTTTTAAGTTAGGTATCTTTGTTGAAATAGCATATTAATAAAAACAAGTTTTCAAAACACTAGAGTTAAAAATCAAGAAAGACTTGCTTGAAACAAAAATCCTTGATTGTATTCAGCTCCTTTAATTTTATGTCATGGGTTAAGTGAGATATCTAATGTTAAATAAAATTAAGAATGAGTGCCAAGATAATTGTCTTTAGGCTTTTAATTCAAAATCATCTGTGACTTTCCCATTTAAACCAAAAATTATGATTATGATTGTTCTTAGATCACTTCTTAGTTTGTTATCCCTTTCTAGGGTTTTCTATATTTTATCTAGGGTCCATCTTAGTCCCATATTACAGTATGTTAAATGGGCATTGTTATTTCCTTAATTGATTTAATGAAACATTTTCAATATTACTAATTTTTAAAGAGCATATAAGGGATTATTAGGGTCCAAAGTGGGCAACACTCTTTCATTAAAGCTTTTAAGATAGGTTTCAAAGGTTGTACTTCAAATTGATTTAAATAAAAATGACAAAACTTTAAAGAATATTTAATTCTTAAATTACTCTAGCTAAATTTTATAACTAATTTAAGTACTCGCTCTCATTTACTAATTTGTGGCTGTTGGAATAATTTATCCTTTTATTTTCTTGTAATATATTTGGAATTAATTACATGAAAGGAAAAATAACATGGAGAAAACTATGTGTAGTCACAAGAATATTCACAGTGCAATTAAGAATCCTGGTGAACCAGTGAACTCCAGGTTTGTCAAACTAACTATAATCTTAGAAAGATTCTTTAACATTTAGAAACATTTTTCTTCTTCCCTTCCTCCTTTCCTCCCTCCCTTCTTCCTTCCCTCTTTCCACTCTCCCTCCCTCCCTCCCTTCCTGTTTGTGTTGTAAGGAGCTTGAACTCAGAACTTTGCATTTGCAAAGCAGGGATTCTGCTGCTTGAGCCACACCTCCTAGAAACATTTTCTTTTACGATAATTACATGCTTGCCAACCTCTTCTAGAGCACTAGATTGATGTATTATATCTTAAAGTAGAATTCTTTTTTAAATAGAGTTTTAAGATACCATTTTTATATTTTGATTTTCAGGTTGAGTTTTAAGTATAATTTTCTCATGCTCAAAAAATTACATTAAACTGGAATCAGTTTTCATGGAGATAAACACTGGAGAAAATATAATGTTTATTTATGAAGGTTATATTTGATCTATGACCCACCAATGTGCCTTTTTGTTATTTATGAAACATATCCATTTTCTGTTTGCAGATGGATGTATAAGTACATATACTATCCAAAGACTAGTGACTTGATTACCAGTAGACTAATAGTAATTGTAAGGAGTTGATTGTTTTCATTAAAAATAATTAAATAGGAAGTAAAGGCTAGAGATCTTATAATTTTCAGGGACAAAACTCTTACAAATTCAGTATTTTGTAATGTATCTTAGATAGCTGATATACTTGGTCATTTAACACATAGTGATTAAACTAATAAATTAGAGAAAATTGAGTTTTTAATGTGAAATGATAATATTTAAATACTATCTGAGGCATAAGTTATTCTGATTGCATCACTTTATATTTTATTAATAAAAGAAGAATACTCACCACATTTTGTTGGAAATGTTAAGCACTTTAAACATTAAAAGCAGTAGCTAGAATTTTCTGCAAACTCAATTACAAGTTTTCATTTATCCCTTTAAATTGTTAAGATCTTCTCATTTCAGTCAAACCCAGTGAAGTCCTCATGTATTTTATCGTCATGATTTAATCAGCCAACTTCAGCACAATCACTCTTTAGTCACTTTGGTAGCAGAAAACCTTGCAACTTACATGAGTAGCATGAAATTATATACTAGAGGTATGTATGATGGCAACATAGAGTTCCTGACTTTTCGTTTTGCTGTAATCTAATGCTAATTGCCTAAGATTTATTTATTTTTAAGGGAGAAAAAAATGGAAGTGTTTTAGGTTTTATAAACTGTAAAACCGAGGTATCCAAGGGATGATTTCCATTATCATCTGTAGGTACAAAGTTCCAAATGATCAAATTACTTCTATTAAATGACATAGTAGTTGCATATAATTTGCAAATACCTTGCTTGCTCTCTCTCTCTGTTTCTTCCTGTCTCTCTCTCTCTCTCTCTGAAATAAAGCAATGTAATGTAAGATTTAGTAAAAACATTAAAGAAAACTTAATACAAGATACAAGTTTCCCAAATAAAGCAATTTGCTTCAGAAACAAAAGAACAGGAAAATCTACCAATATCATTATTTACTTGCCATTTGCTAGCCAAGCTGCAAAGTTTCAAAACATTAATTCATATCACCAGGTGTTCTATTTAACATAAAGCACTGTGTTACCATCCCCAGGAATTTCTGTAAGTCTCTGAGCAATCATCTAATAAATCAGTGCTTCATGAGTTTTCTAGAGATGATCTCTAAGAAGTCTGTAAAGGAAAAAAGCAGGTTCTGTTTTGTTTTGTATTTTGGTGGTACCGAAGTTTGAGTTGAGTACCTTGTATTTGCTGCCAAGGCAATCTTACTAAACAAGCCAATTACCACATGAGCCATGTTTATAACTCCAAAGCATGCTTCTTTGCTTACTTCAGCTAGCTACCTATCATTTGTTGTTATATTCTTTGTAAAAAGAAATTTTAGAGCCATTAATTTTATATTTTTTTTAAGGCAGTACTGGGGATTGAACTCAGGGCTTCACACTTGTGCTACTCTGCCATCCCCTTTTGTGTTGGATATTTTTTTAAATAGGATCTTGCTTTTATGTCCAGGTCAGCTTAGACTGTGGTCCTACTATTTGACCTTCCGCAAGTAGATGGATGACAAACGTGCACCTCCATGCACATCCTTTTATTGGTGTGTCCTTATATATAGAATATATAGAGAGAGAATATATAGCACTCATTGTTTATTTAAATTAAGGATTTTCAGATTATGCTAGAGGTAGCTTCCATCACATGTATTCATTATCATAATGGTTTTATAATTGAAACCAGTGAGGTTCCAGGGAAATATCCAAAAGGGAGGAGGATTCAGCCTGACCTTGGCTACCATGTCTGTGACATTGCAAAAAAGAATTTTAGGACAGATCAAAGTAGAGGCTAGGAAAGTTTATTAGTAAAGCAAAGAAAAGATAGTACACAACCCACATATGGGTGCAGCACATGTTGTAAGTGCAATTAGTGTTCTGTTGTTAAGAGTATTTGTGGCAAAAGTGGATTGGGATTTGACTTAAATTTACTTATAGGATAAATTTATACATCTGGTATATTTAATTACTGTTTTTGCTGCACTGTTATTATTTGGGCTGAGAGATTTCAAGATTGGTCTGTTTACTAAATCTGGGTATATTATGATGTAGAGCCTCAGCAGCCTTTTAAACGATAGATTCTTCCAAATAATCAAATGTCCTTCATTATCAAGAGTCATTTTATCAAATTCTTTCTCCCAGGATATTTGTCTTTCTTTAAATCATTTGCTCACAAATGATTGGTTTTTTTCTTCTTTCTTTAGGTGTTACACTTAGTGAGGAAGAAAAGCTTAAAGTAATAAAAATAGTGTCTGTGTGCTTAGAATCAAGCTATTCCTTAAATACAGTGTTTATCGCTTAATACCAAATTTCTGTGTTCCATATATCATTTTTTCCTGCCTTGGGAAGAAGGCCTTTTTGGGTTTTTTTGTGCCACAACAGGAGTTTGAATTCAAGACCCCTTTTCTTGCTAAACAGTCACTCTTACAGTGTGAATCACTCTGCCAATCCTATTTTTTTGCAAAGAGTTTTTATGAGATAGGTCTCACAGACTGTTTGCAGTGGCTGGCTTCAAACTGTGATCCTTCTGATATCTCTGTCTCATGACCAGTAAGGATTACAGGTGTTAGCCACCAGTGCCTAACAAGAAAAGCTTTTTTGAATACCTACACTATGTTAAGCTTGGTGATAGGTAATTGTATGATAACTTCATAAAATTTAATAACATTTCCTCTCTCATTTGTGAGTGAATAAAGTAATACTGTTCTGTGCTGAAATGCTTTTTCTAAAATGACAGATTTTAGTATAACAAAAGAAATTGGGGGGGGGAATCAAATTGTGTGAAGAATGGAAATGGAAGTTATATTGGAAAACATTTTTTATAACACATTCAGCAGGTTGTATATCTCTTTGACTAGGTAGAAAGTGAGTTCCTTATTTTAAGGGAGAAATTAAAGATATAGATTCCACTATAACATCTTCCCAATTAGTGAAAATTAATAATATTGATTTACTGTTGTCTTTTGACTTTAATATGGATATACATATGCATAAGTTACAATTTTTGTTAATTTGCAGATCATGAAGATTATGACCCACAAACTGTAAGACTGGGAAGAAGATACAGTCATGTTCAAGAAGTCCAAGAATGGCTTAACTTCCTTAGGTTTGTTTGAAACAGTGCTATATTCTCTTTTTTATTTTTTCTTTTTTTGATGGTACAGAGATTTGAACTCAGAACTTTATAGTGTTATATTCTTTTTAAGGCACAGATAAGGAATGCAGTTGGCTAAATCTTTATTAGGTGGCTGTGCTACCTTGATACGAAATATTTGTCAACATAAGAAGCATTGCCCAGGCCAGGCATAGTGACACACTTGAAAGGCTAAGTGAGGCAAAAAAGATTGTGAAACTGCCTTGGGCTACCTAGCCAAAATCTGTCTCCAAAAAAGAAAAAAGAAAAAAAAGCAAAGAAAGAAGAAAAAGAAGTATTGCTAGAAGTTTACATCATGCTTTCGTATGTGATATGCCTTAGCTTTTGATTTTTTAATTTTGAAATAAATACATTTATATTTTGAGAAATGTTTCTTTAATGTATTTTTATACTTTGAACTATATGACACAAAATGGTCAGTTAGGCTATCACAATTTTATTAATGGTATCCTGGGTAGTACCAGGGTTGTTTATATACCTAGATGCTTTGTATATTCAAAACGTGTTTGGCATAGACAGTCTGAAAACTGTATAAAATGAGTTCACATAGAATTCAAAAGTATTGTCTGTTCTTTAAGGAAAGCTAACTATAATCCAAGCTGAATTTTCTCAGTGATGTTTACATTTCAATGACTTGTATGTATAGCTTATTCAGCTGTACACAGCTTACTCACTTCTTAGGAATGCAAATTACCATACCACATACATTGAAGCATATTTGAACCATCAGTATGCTAAGCAAAAATTGCCTGAACTATCACTGTTTCACAAAATCTATTGCATTTATTTTCATAAATGTTAATTCTGGAGGATTGAGCTATTCTACTAACTAGCAAACCAGGAAGTATTTTGTGGGGAAATATTTATTTTAAAAGTCTGTTTTCTATGAAGTCGCTCCATGGCCACTTGAAGAATTTTATTATTGCCAGGTTTATCTAATTCCTGTAGATAGAAGTATTTATATGACTTCTGACTTGAGAAAAATTCCTTTATCAAATTTTCCACAATTGATTTAAAATGCCTTTTTTTTTTTTTTTTAAGCAACCTGGAAAAAAATAACTGACCCCACATGTTGAGAATCTCTCTCAAAGTGACACTGTATTTTGTATTGTATCCTTTAGGTTTATTGGATCAGAAAAATGAGTTAGTATTTTTTCACTTTTTTTTTTTAAGTTTAGAGTCAGACGATCTTCCATATTTCCTGTTCTTTAAATAGCAGTATTCATTAAAGGGAAAAGGAACTAAGTTACTGATTGTGCATATTTGTCCTTGTGCTAGTCACTTTAGTCATCATGTCAACTTTTCAGACAGATACTATTCCACATTTGATTAATAAGAAAGCTGATACTTAATTTGAGAAGAATAACTTACTGTAACATCCAGTGTTACTTGTAATATTGGACTCCCAGTGTCATCTGTCTGGCTCTTCTCATGACCATTGTTTTTCAAACTTTTACTCTGGAGCCTTTGTTTGTAAACTGCTGCATTTAGTCATCCTGGATTTCATACTGATCATTTGAAAATTCGGGTTAGAAAAAATAAAGTAGAACTAAAAGCTAGAAGTCCATCAGGTTCAGTACACATAGATACTTAGAACGAAGACCCAAAAGAAGAAAACCAGGGACTTTGGATCTGGCTTATGTTTGGATTGCTTGACTAGTAACCATGAAGCCCTGAGTTCAAACCCCAGTACCACTAAAACAAAAAAGTTGGAACTTTCCAAAAGAAAGGCAAAAGAGTTTAGTTTGTGAGTCACATTGCTTGGCCACGTTTTTGGCCCTTGAACTTATTTAATATGTTTGTTAAAGGAATGAATAGCTGGCATATAATTTCAGATAGGTGCTCAAGATGTAAGTTCTTTGTGTATAGACTTAGTTTCAGTCTACACCACTTGACTAGCAAACAAGAATCTCTGAGTTCAAATCTCAGAATCACCACCAAAAAAAAAAAAAAAAAATGGAAAGAGGGGAGGAAGGGAGAGAAGAGGAAGAGAGAAAGTAAAAGTTCTCTTCAAAGAGTTAAAATGTACCTGTGTTAAGTGTATGATTTTAAATGTAAAAAAATAACTTGTTTTTAAGGGTTACGTTCACCCTAATTTCCAGTTTATGTTTTTCTAAGGTTTTTATTGAAGGATGTCAACTCTGGCTTTGTGCTCCTCAAGCAAAACAAATATGGAAGTGCTTAGCTGAGAATGCAGTTTATCTTAGTGATCGTGAAGCCTGTTTTAAATGGTATTCCAAGTTAATGGGAGATGAACCAGACTTAGATCCTGATATTAATAAGGACTTTTTTGAAAATTATGTGCTTCAGCTTGATCCTTCCTTGTTAACTGAAAATGGAATAAAGTATTTTGAAAGATTCTTCAAAGCTGTTAATTGTCAAGAAGGAAAGCTAGTAGCAAAAAGAAGAGCCTATATGATAGATGATTTGGAACTAATAGGATTAGACTACCTTTGGAGGGTAAGTAAAAAGTAGGATCTTTTGTTTGCAAAAGATAGAAAAATACAAAAATAGTTGCAGAATCCCAGGTCAGGCATAGTCGCTCCTGTAATCCCAACTATTTGTAAGGTAGAGATGGTCAGGGCAAAAAGACCTTAATATGCATGGGGTTAGTAAGACCCTATGTCAAAAATAAATGAAGTGATGTGATGCCTGTTCGTAATCCCAGCAATTGAGGAGACTGAAGTAGGAGGATTGCAGCCCAAGGTCAGCCCAGGGAAAAATACAAGATCTTATCTGAAAAGTAAATCAAAGTAAAAAAGACCATGACACAAGTAGCAGACCTCCTTGCTAGACCAAGTTCAAACCCCAGTACCACCAAAAAAAAAGTTACAGAATCATAACTTTTTTATGTATGCTTATACACTTGAATGGTTGTCCATAGAAATTGTCATTAGTCTCCTATTTGGACTCTTTGTATGCAATAGTGGTCACGTCTTATATACACCCTGCTATTTACCTCATCCTCCCATTTCTTCTTTTTATCTTTTATACAAGATAAATCTTCGGTTTTATGATGGATTTAATGCCAAAATGATGAACAAATAGAAGAGGTGATGCTGTCTAATAGAACACGTTTATGAAATATTAGTTTTATGATATTCTTCTGCTTGTGAAATATTTAAGTTAACTGGAGCTAACTGTTAGACTGAAGAGAGGCACAAAAGGATGAACAGGTTTTATTTGGGAAAGATAGCCTGCGGAGGGGGTCTCCAGCAAGAGAGCTACAGCCCACTATCACTTATAAGCTTGGAGTCCATATAGGCAGAGCTGGTGGAAGAGTACCAGGAAGGTCACTGGGTGGTTCAGTATTCTTTGGGTCAGTAAAGAATGCTATAGCAGAGCAAAGAAGGAAGAAAAGCTGTGGTTAGGTCCCTCATCTGCTCAGTTGTTCTTATCTCCAGGTTAATAATTGACCCTTTGTCAATCTTTGGGTTGGGTAGGGATTTTCCGGCAAGCCATCTACAAGGCAAGAGGGGATCTGGTCCTGACAAGGCTGCTCTTACTGTTCACCCTAACACTAACTTTTCCATTTTGATAGAATAAGTATATTTCATTGCCATCATTAACAGTCTAGTATGTTGTAGATACTAGCCACTTGGGAGGCAGAGATAGCAAGGATAGCAGTTCAAGGATAGCTGTTTTCAAGGCCTGTATCAACCAATAAAATAATTGGGCATGGTGGTACATGTTTATCATCCACTACTTGGGAAAGATCAAATAGGAGGACGAGGGTCTAAGCTGACCTGAACATAAATGCAAGATCCTGTTTAAAAAAAATAACTGGTATAGAAGGGTCTGGCAGACTGGCACAAATGGTGGTAAAGCCATTAAGTGCAAGGCCCTGAGTTCAGTCCCAGTACTGCCTAAAAAAAGATAAAAAATAAAGTTAATGGTTCTAAAATTTCTTTTTACAAAGAATATAAAAACAAATGATAGAAAGCTGGTTGAAGTAAGTAAAGGATCATGCTTTGGGGTTATAAACGTGACTCAAATAGTTGGCTTGCCTAGGAAGCTTGCATTCCCAGCAAGTCACAGGCCCTGAATTCAAACTCTAGTACCAACAAAGGGAAAACAAAAACCAAAAACAACTAAACATGCTTTTTACTTTTATAAACTTCTTAGGGATCATCTTTAGAAAACCCTTAAAGCATAGCTTGATACAACCACTTATTAGATGATTGATTGCTCAGAGACTAACAGAAATTCATGGGGATAGAAACACAGCATGTTATTGTTTAGTAGAATTTTTGATGATTTATTTGAATTACCTCTTGAAACTTCACAGCTTGGCTAGCAAATGGCAAGTAAAATAATAGTATCGGTAGAATATCCTGTCCTTTTCTTTTATAAGCAAATTGCTTTATTTGGAAAACATATATTAATGTTCTTAGTGTTTTTGACTTAATCTTACATTATATAGTTTTATTCAGATGAGAATTTAAATAATTTTATCCCTAATTTTGAAGGTTGTTTTAAAATTGAGAATCTGATTTGAATTTGTGTCAAATTAAAATGTATCTTGAGTGTTGTTAATGCTATAATCTTTTTTGGAATTAGGTTGTGATTCAGAGTAATGATGATATTGCCAGCAGAGCTATAGACCTTTTTAAAGAGATATACACAAACTTTGGCCCTAGGTTACAAGTCAGTCAGGTGAGAATTGAAGAGCATAAAAACCTCCACTAGCTATCACCTTAAAATAATCATGGGCTTACCCTTTTAAACTTGCAATTCACTGGAAATTAATTTTTTAACTTGTCAAAAATATTTCTGTTGTATTTCATCCTTTGCAGTGTCATTTAAAGGAGTATTGCTGTGATACTTACTCTGATGTGATTAAGATTAGTTTGAATGTTATTAAATGTTGTGGGTTAAGATGGTCAAAATTTTTAGTTTGACTCTTAATCCAGAGATTCATTTTAAAAATAATAGTTGGTTTATTCTTGCTTGCTTTCATATTATCAACTTGTTTTTAGGAAGCTTGTATTTTATTACTGGTTAATTACAATTGTAGTTGAGAGTTGCATTTAAATAAAATTTTTTATTCCTTTTGATTAAAGTCATTTGATATTTATAAACAATTTAAACTGTTCTTATTTGATCCATTATCCATAGGTGGTTATCCATGAAGACTTCATTCAGTCATGTGTTGATCGTTTGAAAGCCTCATATGATACATTGTATATTTTGGGTAGTGATAAAAACAGTATTAATTCTGCACGACAAGAAGCCATTCACATGGTTCGTGTATTAACTGTTTTACAAGAATACATAAATGAATGTGATAATGATTATCATGAAGAAAGAATGATTCTACCTATGTCAAGGTTTGTGAGGAATTGATCTAGAATTTGTAATTATTTAATAATTTTTAGATTGTTATTTAGGAAAGCTGTTACATAGTTTAAGGTGAAGGTTTTCATTTGAATTTTTATGCCCTTTGAAACATTTTTTAAAAATGTATATCTTACTCAGTTTTCTTTTTTTAAAAATACTCACTTTGTAATTGTGCATTTATATTCTTATTTATGTTTTGATAAGGCATTCTTGCTCATTAATAACAGTCTTTTATTTATCCAGTAGGTGCAACACTGATTATTTTTCAGTTAATGTATTTATTTTAATGTTGTACATGTATACTGTCAAAAATTAATTCTTTTAAGAGCTGCTTATTTAGTAGATATTACAAGGAATAGTTTCAAATATAATTGTAAAGTATAAATAACTTCTATAGTATGTGATGAAGTCTGCCATAAACAAGTAAATACTAACTTAAATGGAATTTCTAGTTTGGGGAAAGATTTATGCACACTTAGCGGAAAATGTGAGATTGACTTTTTTTTCCACTGTTTTTACATTTACTTACATGTGTATACATTGTCCCATCCTCCTCTCCCTCCCACTTGGTGACAAAACCTGTTCTACCCTCTTGATTCTGATTTTGTTAAAGAGAAAACATAGGAGAGAATAAGAAAGATGTGTTTTTTTGGCCATTTGGACATCTTCCTTTGAAAAAGCTCTGTTTAGTTCGGTTGCCAACATATTTATTGTTTCATTGATTTTTAGGGAGTTTTGTTTTTTGAGCTCCCTATATATTCTGATTATTAGTCCTTTGTCTGATATATAGCCAGCAGATATTTTCTCCCATTCTGTGAATGGTCTCTTCAATTTAGAGACAGTTTCTTTGCTGTGCAGAAGCTTTTAAATTTCCCATTTGTCCATCCTTTGTCTTAGTTGCTGGGCTGCTGGAGTTCTGCTAAGGAGGTTCTTACCTGTACCTGCTGTTTTCAGGGTGTTCCCTGCTCTTCTGTGTATTAACTGCAAGGTTTCTGGTCTGATAGTGCTGTCCTTAATCCACTTTGAGTTGATACTAGTTCATCGTGACAGACATGGATCAGTTTTCAGTTTTCTGTAGGCTGGTTGCCACTTTTCCCAACAACATTTGTTGAAGCGGCTATCTTTTCACCATTGTATGTTTTTGATCGCTTTGTCAAAAATAAGGTGGGCAGTGTATGTTCTCCCTCATGTGTGGACATTAGATCAAGGGCAAACACAACAATGGGATTGGACTTTGAGCACATGATGAAAGCGAGAGCACACAAGGGAGGGGTGAGGATAGGTAAGACACCCAAAAAACTAGCTAGCATTTGTTGCCCTCAACGCAGAGAAACTAAAGCAAATACCTTAAAAGCAACTGAGGCCAATAGGAGAAGGGGACCAGGAACTAGAGAAAAGTTTAGATCAAAAAGAATGAACCTAGAAGGTAACACACACGCCCAGGAAATCAGTGTGAGTCAACTCCCTGTATAGCTATCCTTATCTCAACCAGCAAAAACCCTTGTTCCTTCCTATTATTGCTTATACTCTCTCTTCAACAAAATTAGAAATAAGGGCAAAATAGTTTCTGCTGGGTATTGAGAGGGGGTGGGGGGGAGAGGGAGGGGGCGGGGTGGGTGGTAAGGGAGGGGGTGGGGGCAGGGGGGAGAAATGAACCAAGCCTTGTATGCACATATGAATAATAAAACAATAAAAATTAAGTTTAAAAAATTAAAAAAAAAAAAAAAGGTGGGCCGAACTATATGGATTCACACCCAGGTCCTCTATCCTGTTCCACTCGTCTTTGTTTCTATTTTTGTGCCTGTACCATGCTACAACTCTGCAGTATGATTTGTAGTCGGGTATTGTAATACCTCCAGCGTTGCTGTTTTTGCTCAGTATTGCCTTGGCTACTTCTGGGTTTTTTTGTATCCAAATGAACTTTAGGGTAGAGTTTTCAATCTCTGTGATGAATTTCATTGGGATTTTGATAGGAATTGTGTTGAACATGTAGATTGCTTTTTGGTAGTATAGCCATTTTTACTCTGTTGATTCTGTCAATCCACAAGTATGGGAGGTCTTTCAATCTTCTGTAGTCTTTCTTGATCGCTTTCTTCAGTGATTTGTAGTTCTCCTTGTTAGGTCATTTACTTCCTTTGTTGTTATAGTGGAGAGTGTTTGTGTTAGGGATTGCAGGGGGCTATATACCATTGGCTAGTCAGCAGATGGGTAAGTGTGTAGGAGGGAAGGGTAGTGTGGTGACAGGTTTTAGGAGGATAGGAGAGTGAATATGGAAAGAGTGGATGAGAAGGGGCAGAAAGAATAGTTGGGAGGGAGAACAATGGATAGTACAGGAGAAGGAGAAAAAGTGAAAAGGGTAAAAATAAGGATGAGAGAATAGTGATAATGAAGTTAATAATACAGAAAGACAAAGGAAAATACAAAAGAAACACAATAAAGAACACCAGGTCATTCTGTCCACAAGATTAGTTGGAATTGTGAGGTGAGGTTAGACTGCCAGCTTGTGTGGTGTGGTCAGAGTTGTAAACCAGGCAGCGATGTGTTACACTTCAGCTGCAGCTATGTTTGGTCAGATCCTCTCCCAGAAAGGTGGGACAATTCAATTTTAAATATTGTCCTCTGTCCCAGTGATCAGGTGTGGGATTCATCTTCAGCCCTATTTTGGGAGGTTGTCCTATTGTTCCACCACTGCTTTCAGCCTTTGTGCTTTTCCTGATCTCTGCTGAGTGCTGGTAGCTCCTCTGGGAGGTTGGTTTGTAGCCCCACTCCCTCTCTCAGCTTTATGCTTCTCCTGAGCTCTGCAGGGTGCTGGTGGCTCCTCTGGGGGTTGGTTTGTAGCCTAGACCTGCTCTCAGCCTTTGCTGTGCATCACTGAGAGATTTTGGTGCTAGGAGTTTGACTCCTTCCCCCAACCCTGTTCTCAGGTGCAGGTTCAGCATTCCACGCCTACCTTCACTGTCAGTGTTAGGTTATAGTTCCCTGGATATGTTTTTCAGTTTTGCTGGGTGGGGAGGTTCACTCTGCCCAGGGACTGCACTGGGTTATTTCCCAGGGGCAAGACACAGTCAGGGGGATTGGTAGGGGATTCACATGATGTGAGTGATGCTCACCTGTTCCTTCTGCAGTTTCATGCAGGCAGCTTTGGAGCCAGCTGTCAGAAAGACATAGAGTTGTTTTTTTCAGTGTGGTCTGGTATAGGGAGGCTTTCCATGGGCTGTGAGATCCACAGTGTTGCAGAGTTTGATTCTGATTGATGGTCGGTCTTCTGCTGGTTGGGAGAAGCAGTTGAGGGCTTTTTTCCCAGGGCTGGAGGCTGGACATTCCTTGCTGACTGTGCTAGGCAGGATTTTCATGGCAATTAAAGGCTGATTTAAGTGGCAGTCTTTGAATTTTATCTGCACCTAATGGGATGGTAGTTATTATTTTGGGTAGAAGCAATCAGGAATTGCTACAATGTCTCCAGGAGGTATCTAGTGTAAGGGAACTTTGGAATTCTGATTCCATACCTTAACCGCCATTTTTTATCAAATCTGATAAAAAATAATAAGTTACTTTTTTATTTTATATCTTGTGAGAAGAGAATATATGATGAATATACGTATAATTTTAATTTTGATAGCTTGAGAACTCCTCAGTATAGTGCAGTTTAGTGTTTTTTGGTGCTTCACATTAAGCTCCCAAATCCAAAATCTAAAATACTCCAAAATCCAAAAGTTTCTGAGTACTGACACATTTGGGTGCCACAAAAGGAAATAACGTGGTCCTTGTGATAGGAGTCTCATGCTGTCCTTGAACTTGAGATACTCTGCCTTCCAAATAGATGGGATAACAGGGATATGCTACCATTCCCATCTACAACTTTTCTCTTAATTCGTGGCACAATGGAATATAAAATTTTTGAATATTACAGATTAACTGTTATGCTTTTAGCTTAATAGAGTCAATCTTGTTCTCAAAATTCTGAAAACAATAAAAGTAAGTTTTTTAAGTACTGTCCTCCTACTTAGAAAAAAATGTACTTCCCATCTTGGCAATCAGCTGAATTATTATTGAGTTTCATTTTTTTCAGTTTTCCTAACTTTTCATTTGCTTTTTTCCAGAGTGTTTCATGGCAAACACCTGTCTCTTACAGTTCAGTTTCCAAGCCAAGGCAGACAAGTTGATGACTTGGACATATTGTCTCATACAGATGACACAGTTGGTTCTGTACGACAGTGTATCTTTAACCATATTAAAGCCAGAGTAGGCCATACAAAAATTGAACTGTTTGTAGGTGGTGAGTTAATAGATTCTGAAGATGACAAAAAGCTAGTTGGACAACTAAACTTAAGAGATAAGTCAGTAAGTATTTCAGATATTCCCCTGAAATTAAATATTTAAACAATAATTTTATTATTTATTAAATATTGATTAAACATTTTTATTTGCATGCTTCTGTGTTGGTATTTGGGTATGAACTTCAAAGATGACTGGTGTCATAGAACTTACAGTAAATGACATTAAAGAATAGTCTGCACACTCTGTACAGACTTTCCACATCTGTGTATTCAGGTAACTGCATGAAAACACATATGGAAAAAAATCTGTCCTGAATATTTAGAGAGTTTATTTTTTCTCATGATTCCCTCGACAATACAGTTTAATAACTATTTACATATCATTTACATTGTATTTGGTATAATAATCTACAAATGGTTTACAGTATGTTGGAAAATGTGCATATGTAAATACTATAGCTATTTATATAATAGATAAGAACATACATGCAATTTAATAACTATGAAAGAATCTTGGAACCAATCCTCGAGAATTATGAGATTGTAGCAAGTGGTTGTGTTGAGTAATACTTTTAAAGTATATTCCTAAAAATAATGTATGAGAAAATAACTGATATTTCTAGTTTCAGTATTCTGTAGAAGTATTTTCTCTTTATCACTAAATATGTTATCATTTTCAGCTCATCACAGCCAAATTTACACAAACAAGTACCTTCAAGTCCTGATAGTTCTTCTGATTCTTCAACTGGATCTCCTGGAAACCATTGTAATCAATGTAGTGATGGTCCCAACCAAGAAGTAGAGAGATGTTTACCTGGAGTGGTGAGTAACAACTGTGTTCTTTGGGAACGTGAAGAAATAGGTATTTCTGAGGAGGATAATAGTTTCACAAATGGAACCAAATATCTAGAACTATACTGTTAACTGTTAGCTTCTGATGATATTCTTTTAACTGATGGAATTAACATAATTTCATTGTACTATTAAGTATATAACTAGAGATTATTACTGTATTAGTAGTCTTTCCTTTAGAATTGTTTTAAAGAAAAATATATTCTGTCTTTCTCAGGTTCTTAATAATTATCTCTTATGTGAAGAAATAACTTATACCTTTGTTGATCTTTCTCTACCCCATTCTCTTAATAATTATTATGTTGTCCGGCTGTAGTGGCTCAGGCCTACTACCTGTTAGGTGAGGAGCAGGGGATCACAGTTTGAGGCCAACCTGGGCAAGAAGTTTGTGAGACCCCCATCTCAGTCTCTAGCTGGGGAGGATATGGCCTCCATTATCCTGCAATAGGAGGATATGGCCCACTTTGGCCAATACTAAAGAAAGATCATATCTGAAAAATACATGAAATAAAAGGGTGGGAAGTATGCCTGCCTACTAACAAGTGTGACTTCAACCTACAGGACCACCAACAAATAAAAATTTGTAAGTCTGCAGTTATACCAGTTACAGCAATGACAGAGATTAGGTTCCTCAGACAATTGGATTTGATTCCCAGAGGAGCCTTCTTTTAAAAGCATCTTTGGAATACCGTATGAAACTATCTGTAGTTTACAAAGAAAACTTTTTCCCTAGCCATTTCATACTCCATTACTATTTCAGAGAAATGGTACTTGTAGCTATTATTTTATTGCACAAACCATTTTGTCTCTAAGCAATATGCTGATAACTTATTTTCTATGTCATTTATAAGTGTGTGTATATTGATTTAAGTTGGGGTTGATGAAAAAGTATTTTTACAAATTTACACATCCCTGCTCTCTGATCATCTCGTAATTTTTTTTTCTTTTTTAGCAGTTCTGAGGTTTTGAACTCAGGGCTTCCACTTGCTAGGCAGGAGCTCTACTACTTGAGCCATGACCTGATCCCTTATCATTCACATTTTTAAAACTCTGTGTGAAAATAATTGTAATCTAGGTTTACTCACACCTAATTATAATAGACTTTAAAGTTTCCCCTTTCATTTGCTTAATTTTCATGGGAGTTATTACTAAATCCCCCATATTCCCACTAACTTCTTAAAATAATTTTTTATATGATCAGAACTGTTTTATCATGGTTTCTTAGAGTATTTCTTCTTCCTGCTCATCTATGTTTTTAAAAAAAATAATAGAAACTGAATGTGGTGACTCAAGCCTGTAATCCTAATTACCCAGGAGGTAGAGATCTGGTGGATCAAAGTTTGAGGCCAGTCTAAAGGGAAAGAAGTTCTTGAGACCTCCAGCTCAGCTAGTGGTTGGATGTGGTGGTGTGTGCCTGTCCCTTCAGCTATACAGGAGTCACAATTAGGAGAGTCAAGGTCAAGGACAGCCTAGATATCCATCTCAAAAATAACCAGTTCTAACACAGCTTATGGAATGGCTCATGTGATACAATACCTGCCTAGCAAGCATGTGTTCAGTGTTGAGTTCAACCATGACTACTTTAAGAAAAAAAAAAGCTGGATACAAGAAGCTTATTCCTGTAATCCTGGCTACTCAGAAGGCAGAGATCATAGGATCTCAGTTCAAGGCCAGCTGTGGGCAAGGATTTCGCAAGCCTATCTCAAAAATACCCATCACAAAAAAGGGCCGGCGGAGTAGCTTAGATGGTAGCTAATGTGAGATCCTGAATTTGAAGCCCAGTGCCACCAAAAAAAAAAAAAAAAAAGAAAAAAATCACAGTAAAAGTTTCCAACTACTGAACATAAAATTTTGGGGTTTTTTTTTTTTTTTTTCTGTTTTTTTTTTTTTTTTGGCCATGCTGGAGTTTGAAATAAAGTCTGTGCATCTGCTAGGCAAGTACTCTACTGCTTAAGATGCACCTCCAGACCTAAACATTAAATTTTTATTTAGCTTGTGTGCTGGTGGCTTACGTCTGTAATCCTGGCTACTCGGGAGATAGAGATTAGGAGGATTATAGTTTGAAACCAAGCTGGGCAAATAGTTTTTGAACTTGTTTCACTCAAACTATTCAGAAACCAATTGTTGAATAACTTTCAATGTAATGTTGAGTTAGCCTAACTTCTGAGCAGCATCGTTAATGTCTACCAGTTCATTCTGTATCAAGGACAATCACTGAGAATCATTTACCTTGTTTTTGGTTTTATTCTCTTACTGTGGATTTAAATATTTACAAATATATTCTTCATTTAGCTAAAGATCCAGCTTCCATTGCCAAGCTGCCTTTTCATATAAGCAGAATAGTATCAAAAACATAATTAGTTTTATTGGCAATAACATAGTCCAGGGAGATATATCAGTGTGATTAAATTCTGATTTTGAAGATATTTATCATATGAGAAGCAAAAGAGAGAAATTTTTGACTTAACAACATTGAGATGAAACAGGTGAATGTAAATAGAGTTCTGTCTACTACTATTGCATGTTCTCTTTTAATTTTCTTAAAGTAGAACTGAAGAAGCTTCTGTTTGTGCAGCTCTCTGCACAAATCTTCTTTCCTTTTGTTTGAAGATTATACTTCTGTTCTTGATCCTCTTGCCTGGGAGAAACCCATAATGAACAAGCTTATCATACACATTTTACTGACATAAATATGAATTGACTGAATACAAACTAAATAGATGGTGTTATAGAAAAGTGTTCTTACACATATGCTTTATTTCTTCAGTGCAATTAGTGATAGGCTTTTTGCTTATTTATTTTTTCCCTGCACTATTACTTACATATCTACTGAAAAATTTACTAAAATCAGAATTGTAACTTCTTTCATGACAGTAATTTTTTTAAGGCACTACTGCTATTTGAATTTAAGTTCTAGTGCTTGCTGAGCAAGCACTTTACCAATTGAGCCATACTCTCCAGCCCTTTTTTTTGCTTCAGTTATTTTTCAGATAGGATCTGAGGCTTTTGCTAAAGCCTGGCCTTAGACCCATGATCCTTCTACGTTTGCCACCCGAGTAACTAGGATTGTAGGCATCTACCACAATACCTATCTTGTTCTTTGCCATAGTATCTTGATAACTTTTTGCATAGATTGACCTCAGACTGCAATCCTCCTATAGCCAACATGCCAGGACAAACAATAACATGTTTGAAAAACACACTTGTTTTGAATACTGTTCCTTGGGTTGGGCTGTGTATGTTTAAGGATTATTATAAGATCATATACTTTTGAAAACTTGTGGAAATTCTACATTAAATTTACCATATTAACCATTTAAAATCTACAGTTTCTCATCAGTACAAACACTTAGCTAGCACATATTATATCCTAGGTTCATTCCCCAGCACTACAAAAAATATGTGTACTGTTCAGTGCTGATAGGTATGGTTATATTATTACACAACTGATCTCCAAAACTTTAATTTTGCAAAATAGAAACTGTACCAATAAACAAGAACTCTTCATTTCTCTTCCCTCTACTCCTGGCAGCGATCATTCTATTCTCCATTTCTGAGTCTTACTATTCTATAAAACTATTACAGTAGGTTTTTTGGGCGGGGTGTTTTGTTTTGTTTTGTTTTGTTGTCACTAGCTTATTGTATTTAGGATAGTGTCCTCAAGGCTCATATGTATCATAGTATATGTCAGAACTTTCTCTATTTTGCTCTGTTTTGAAGCTTAATAATAATAATACATTCTAGTTTTCTTTATACCACATTTGTTAATCCATTCAATCATTAATGGAAATTTTAGTTGTCTCTGCTTTTTACCATAATAAATACTGCTGTTAACATTGCTGTATAAACTTTAGTCTAGACCTACATTTGCATTTTCTTGCTTATATACCTAGCTGTATGTTTAATTATGGAAGAAACTTCTAAACTTTATTTCCCAGGAGTAAGGTATGAGAGTTTTAATTTCTTCATAGCTTTACCACTACCTATTAATGTTTTTTGATTTGAAGTAATGACTCAGTGTGATTTTGATTTGCATTTCTTTAATAGCTAATGATGTTGAGCAGTTTTTCATGTACTCACTAGTGGTTCCTGTGTCTTTGGAGAAATGTCTATTCAAATCCTTTGCTAATTTTTAAATTAAAATATTTTTCTTATTATTGAAATCTTAGAGTGAGGAGCCTTTGGTTTGAAAAAGAAAAATTATTATTTCTTTTTTTATTTTAGTTTTTTTTTTCTTTTATTATTCATATGTGCATACAAGGCCTGGGTCATTTCTCCCCCCTGCCCCCACCCCCCTCCCTTACTACCCACTCCGCCCCCTCCCTCTCCCCACCAGCTCCTCAATACATGGCAGAAACTATTTTGCCCTTATCTCTAATTTTGTTGAAGAGAGAGTATAAGCAATAATAGGAAGGAACAAGGGTTTTTGCTGGTTGAGATAAGAATAGCTATACAGGGAGTTGACTCACATTGATTTCCTGTGCGTGTGTGTTACCTTCTAGGTTAATTCTTTTTGATCTCACCTTTTCTCTAGTTCCTGGTCCCCTTTTCCTATTGGCCTCAGTTGCTTTTAAGGTATCTGCTTAGTTTCTCTGCGATAAGGGCAACAAATGCTATCTAGTTTTTTGGGTGTCTTACCTATCCTCACCTCTCCCTCGTGTGCTCTCACTTTTACCATGTGCTCAAAGTCCAATCCCATTGTTGTGTTTGCCTTTGATCTAATGTCCACATATGAGGGAGAACATACGATTTTTGGTCTTTTGGGCCAGGCTAACCTCACTCAGAATGATGTTCTCCAGTTCCATCCATTTACCAGTGAATGATAACATTTCATTCTTCTTCATGGCTGCATAAAATTCCATTGTGCATAAATACCACATTTTCTTAATCCATTTGTCAGTGGTGGGGCATCTTGGCTGTTTCCATATCTTGCCTGTTGTGAATAGTGCCGCAATAAACATGGGTGTGCAGGTGCCTCTTGGAGTAACGTGTGTCACAGTCTTTTGGGTATATCCCCAAGAGTGGTATTGCTGGATCAAATGGTAGATCAATGTCTAACTTTTTAAGTAGCCTCCAAATTTTTTTCCAGAGTGGTTGTACTAGTTTAACATTCCCACAACAGATAAGAGGTTCCTTTTTCCCCCTACATCCTCACCAACACCTGTTGATGGTGGTGTTGCTGATGATGGCTATTCTAAACGAGGTGAGGTGGAATCTTAGCATGGTTTTAATTTGATTTCCTTTATTGCTAGAGGGGTAGCATTTTTTCATGTGGTTTTTGGTCATTTTGAATTTCTTTCTTTTGAGAAAGTTCTGTTTAGTTCACTTGCCCATTTCTTTTATTGGTCATTAGTTTTGGGAGAATTTATTTTCTTAAGTTCCCTATATATTCTGGTTATCAGTCCTTTGTCTGATGTATACCTGGCAAGTATTTTCTCCCACTCTATGGGTCTTCTCTTCAGTTTAGAGACCATTTCTTTTGAAGTAGTAGTCTCACTTGTCAATCTTTTCTCTTAGTTGCTGAGTCAATGGTGTTCTATTTAGGAAGTTACTGTCTATGCTTAGAAGTTCTAGTGTATCCCCTCCTCTTTTATGCACTATTGTAAAGTTTCAGCTCATATATTAAGGTTCTTACAAGTGATAGTTGTATAGGGTGAAAGACGTGGACCTAGTTTCAGTTTTATGCATGCTGTTTGTATTGTTATTGCTTTGTAATATAGTTTGAAGTCAGGTATTGTGATACCTCCCGCATTGTTCTTTTGACTGAGTATTGCCTTGGCTATTCATGGCCTCTTATGATTCCATATAAATTTCACGGTAGATTTTTCAATCTCTTTAATAAATGTCATTTGAATTTTGATGGGAATTGCATTAAACATGTAGATTACTTTTGAGAGTATCTTCATTTTTACTATGTTGATTCTACCAATCCATGAGCATGGGAGAGCTCTTCACTTTCTATAGTGTTCCTTAATCTCTTCCTTCAGAAGTTTATAATTCTCCTTTTAGAGTTCGTTCACATCTTTTGTTAAGTATACTCCTAGGTATTTGATTTTTTTAGGCTATTTTGAATGGAATTGTTTTTGTATTTTCCTTCTCTGTTTGTTTATTGTTGGTGTATAGAAAAGTTAATGTTTTTTTTAGGTTGATTTTGTATCCTGCCACTTTACTGTAGCTGTTTATGATGTCTAAGAGTTTTTGGGTAGAGTTTTTTGGGTCTTTAAAATATAGGATAATATCATCTGCAATTAAGGATATTTTGACAGTTTCTTTACCTATTTGTATTCCTTTTATTCCTTCTTCTTGCCTAATTGCTCTGGCTAGGAATTCCAGTACTATGGTGAATAGGAGTGGAGATAGTGGACATCCTTGTCTAGTTCCTGATTTTAGAGGGAATGGTTTCAGTTTTTCACCATCAAGTATAATGCTGGTTGTAGGTTTGTCATATATAGCTTTTATAATGTTGAGGTACTTTCCTTCTATTCTTTGTTTTCTTAGAGTTTTTATCATGAAATGTTCTTAGAGTTTTTATCATGAAATATAGAATCTTATCAAAGGCTTTTCCTGCATCTATTGAGATAATCAAATGGTTTTTGTCTTTCTTTCTGTTAATATGGTGTATTACACTTATTAATTATCAGATGTTGAACCACCCCTGCATTC